CCTCTGGTGCAAATTACTGACCTCTGTCATCATTTTAAGTGGGGGAACTTGCACAATCGGTGGCTGACTAAATACTTTTTTGCCCCACTGTAGGGCAGGGCAATATGTCCAAAAATATTTATCACGATATATATTTGAAAATTTGCCATAATGATATAACTGATGCGACTTTGATGGGGTTTTTTGTACTAATAATGTCACTTCACTCGGCACCCGCTGGCCCGGTGGCGCCAGTGTCCGGCAGCCTCGCCTCTGTCAGTGAGCCCCAGGGTGGCTGTGGCTACAATGTAGCTTGCCATCACCAGTGTGTGAATGTGTGTGTGAATGGGTGGATGACTGGATGTGTGAAGCGCTTTGGGGTCCTTAGGGACTAGTAAAGCGCTATACAAATACAGACCATTTACAATTTCACTTAAACAAGCAGCTGTTTTTTATGTGCATTAAAGTTATATAAAAATTTAACAGTGCAAATGAAAATTCCTTGCTGACAGTTTAACCAAAAGGCATTTCCAGGAAATTGACCGACATGTCCTCAGCATAACCATGTATAATATCCACAAAACATAAAAAGAGGTTATACACACTCAGTGCGGTAATATTATGTTCAAGCACAGTACGTATCACTCGGCGAGGCTCCCGACTACGGTAACCATAATGCTCCGACAATCCATCAAGCGGTGCGGCTTCGTAACTTAGCAAAGTCGTACTAAAACATTTTTTGACAGATTTTTGAGCGGCGTGTACCACATAAAATCGGTTTGGTAATAACGACGGCCCGCTTGCATGCTCTACCAAAAAATGCGATTTGGTGTGTATCTGAGGGCACGAAAGCCAAACCAGTTCCACACCACTGAAGTTGCAGCATTTTTACAAACCAATTCTGCTTCATCAGTTTTATTCAGCGATCCGCTTTCGCCCTTCTCATTCTCTGTCGCCGCCATGCTTTTTTCCACCATGTGCGTATGAAAACAAAGGCACTGCGCATGCGCGTTTTACCCATATTCTATTGCGATATTTAATTTTCTTATCATTTCCTAACATTATACCGGTATTACAGTGAACGGTATGATATGGCCCAGCCCTAATAGTAGATACCTTATCACATAATCCAGAAGTGTCACCACTCGGGCTATTTCAGCTTTTTGAGAAAGGAATTATTATTGTGGGCTTCTCCAGAAGTGCATATCTTCTGGTTTAAAATTCAGAGTGACCCCGTAGGTGCTATATTTGGGGGGAAAATTTTCACTTTCACTTGGAAAGATGCTTTTGCTGAAGTATCAAAAGAGCTGAAGCTGTTGGTTTCCTACAGGCTGTGCTTCACACTTTCTTCCAGCACACAAGAATTTTGGTTTGAGGGCAGAATTATTGTGGGTGTGTGTGTCGGGTGGCGTAAAGTCTGTGTGTAATGACGCCTTTGAGGTACATGATATGGTGATGGTGTTGGCTGACTAATGTGTTATGTGTCTTCCAGGTGGGCGTGGGTGTTACAGGACGCCCTGGGGATCGCCTTCTGTCTCTACATGCTCAAAACAGTCAGGCTGCCCACATTTAAGGTGACAGATCTGAACCACAACGCGATTTTTTTTTTTTTTTTTGAAAGGTTTTTAACTGTGTTTGATTGTTTTAATAAAAGTTTGATCATAAACTGTTTTCTTTTGCTCCCTGATGCAGGCTTGCACTTTATTAATGACCGTCCTTTTCGTCTATGATGTTTTCTTCGTATTTATTACACCTTCCTTCACAAAGGTATGTCAGCTTGTCACACATGTCTCTTTAGTTTAGTTGTTGTTTGCTGTGTTCTTTGTGTTTTTACTCCTTACCTTTTCTCCAGAGTGGGCAAAGTATAATGGTGGAGGTAGCAGCTGGTCCCTCTGACTCCTCCACACATGAAAAGGTGAGCCTATGTGGTACACCTCGGTTAAGTCCTCCAAACACCCCTCTCAGCTCAGTAGTTGATGGTAATGTTAATTTTTGTGTTTTCCCCAGCTTCCCATGGTGCTTAAAGTGCCACGGTTAAACTCCTCCCCCCTGGCTCTTTGTGACCGCCCCTTCTCCCTGCTTGGCTTCGGAGATATCTTAGTACCAGGTATGCAAATCAAATGTTTTATGATGACACAGTTCACATGCTTTGAAAATAAGAGCAAGGGCTTGTCCAACAGTAAGTCTGTCACGGATGAGAGATTTTCATCAAAGAATTTAAAACAAATACTAAAAATGGAAGTCTGCTAAGAAAGCTTTGTGAAACTGCTGTTAGTCGTTCCCTTTGTTCTGAATGCCTCTTTGGTTTTCTTTTCTCAGGTCTGCTGGTTGTGTACTGTCACAGATTTGACATTTTAACACAATCCTACAGGATCTACTTCATGGCCTGTACAGTCGGTACGTACGTGGGCTGGAGGAGGGGATGGAGGTGGGCTGTACTCTGTGAAATGCTGATGTTATGATGAGCCTCATTCAGGTGGGAATGACATTGATAAGGGGAGGTTCTGCTCTGTAGTTCAACTCATCGTTTTACCCCGAGAAAAATGACCGTGGTGCTTGTAATGTAATAAACAGATTGTTAAGACTAGCCAGTAGAAAACATCAGCACTTCCTCTCCTGAGGACTTCAGTTTTAGAGCAAAAAAGAGAGGATTTCATTTTCCTGCCAGATCTGGTACAAGCTTTAGGAACAAGTCTAGGAACAAAAGACTTCAGTAACTTTTCTGATGGTTGTAGCTCAGTAAGGTAGAAGCAGGCCAAGGACGACCTGTAAATAAGAATATAGCAGCACACCAGCTTGCAGAACACCTGCAGGAGCTAAAGTGACGTCTGTCTTTGTCTCTCTCCCGTCAGCTTACGGCATCGGCCTGCTGATCACCTTCGTGGCGCTGGCCGTGATGCAGATGGGTCAGCCGGCGTTACTCTACCTGGTGCCTTGCACTCTGCTCACCAGCCTCAGTATTGCGCTATGGCGCAGGGAGTTGCCCCAGTTCTGGACTGGAAGTGGATTTGTGGTGAATACCAGTTTGATATGACTGCCTACTACGGAAGAACAAAAAGACTTAACAAAAAAAAAGGAGAAAAAAAAAATCTAGGTTTAAATAACATGCAGACTAAAGTAGAATTTCAAGTTGAGTAACCCCTTTAAATAATTCCATCCATTCCAACTGCTTCTTTCTGTTTTCACTGTCCCCCTCCATCGCTACTCCTCACCCTTTATTTTACTGTGGGTGTGCTCTAGTCTGCTGCTGAGGGTTCAGCTGTCTGTGAATGTCACTGCAGGTATTCAAACCGGGCTTCATTCTACCATCAAACACCCCGACGGGCGTACTACGAAGCGAAATCAATGGCTTTAGTGAGCTACGTCGAGCCTTAAGTCAGAGTTTTCAGTGTCCCGGGGGTGGCTTTCTTGATCACCATGGTAACTGAAGCTATTTAAAAAGTGCCACGTTTGCACTGATTCTAGATAGATTCAGATTCTCTGCTGGAGCAATAGGTTTTATACATGCCATGTGCAGATATATACATTCATGTTCCCACAAGGGAAATTATTGTTACAGCAGCTGTATAAAAAGAATAAAATTAGCACAGGAATAAAAATTTTTTGTATATACATAAGTGATTACATACATGGTAGAGCTGTGTTTCACTATAACCCCCGAAAGAGAGGCAGGAATATGTTAGCATTTATTTTCTAATGCAGAAAACGATTGTTTTTGTATTTTATTTAAATCTGCTGCCAAGCCTGCTGAAATTCTAGCTTAAAAAACACAGATTAGAAAGTCGGTCTGTTTGTTTGTTGTCCATTTATCCGGACTACAAACAAGAATATTAAATCTGTAAAATAACTTTCATCAGATGCCTGCTCTTTATTGTGAGCATGCTCAGAGCCTGAAGCAGAAAACCTGAGCTAACACAGGAAGCTGAAAACCACTGTTGAGATGCCTGTTACCTCTGACTGGGGTTTTAGGTGTTGTTGAGCCAGCTAACACAAAGTAAGCCTGGCTTTATGAACTTGCTTCGTAGTACCTCCCTCTGCTCTCTTAACCTTGCTTCATTTCTGCATTGATGATAAAGTAGTGATCACATGGGAAACTCTGACTCCCATTAGTGGGGCTGATGTTGATGTAGATTTTTTCTGTGTAGCTTGATGGGGCTAAAAACCTCAGTGGGACGTTTCTATTCCTGTGAATACCTCTGAGGGCACAAAGCTTCTTTAGCTGGGGTTAAATTTGTGCCTGTGTAGCGTTTGGTTCTGTTTGCCTTCTGCTCTCCTGTAGCTCCTGTCATTAAATTTTGTGTTCAGCCTGGTGCCCTTCACTCATGCAGGCTTTTGTTTTCTGTCCCTTGCAGCCTGCCATAGTGCTCGCACCGATCAACTGCACACAAACCGCCGCGCCGCCGACCAAGGAGGCCTCAGCTAAACCAGAGTCACCAACCGCAGAGGAGCAAGCCAGTCAGAGTGAAGACTCCCCCCAGGACCCGCCTCAGAAAACTCCCCCGGTGGAGAGCAATGAAGAGGGAAAAAACCCCAACTGAAATAACGTCTAGTACGGCACTTTTCCATTTCACCGTGTTTACTTTGTTCATTTTCTTTCTACAGTGTGTCCGAGTCAGTGGACATTTCACATACTCATGCTTGTTTGCACTCGGTGCCAAGTACGAATCTGTGTTTTCTGAATGTCGGGCTCAGCCGGGCACAGACAAACAGAAGCAGTCCCATCACCACCTCCTACTAACATACAATTTGCACCACCCGAAAGGGGAGTGAAAAGTCAATCTACACTACTCCATTGAGAAAACAATAAATATTTCCACTCCTCTCAGCTCTGTGCCCACCTAAAGACCCCGTCACGGCAGCAAATAACAGTGCAATGTATAACTTGACCAGTAACACCAGAGCTAAATGGCAGATTAAAAAAAATACCCCTCCTGATTTTTGGTTTTCTTTACATTTAAGAAGTGGTTTATGGAGAAAAAAAGACCTTTTAAAAGCTGAGATCTAAACCTGAGTAAAAAATGTTTTTGACCTATTGTTTAATAAATCGTATTATCGTAATAAATTATAATGAGCACCCTGACGTGTTACAGATCAGAGAAAAGGGGAAAAAACTTCGTATGTGGAGGTTTTAGTGCTTCACAATTCAAACGGCATGTCTAGAGCAGAAAAAAATAAGCGATAGTAGTAGTTGCTGTGTAGAAATACTGGCATCGCTATTAAAGGAATCGTGGTAATGAATTAATTAGTGAGCCGTGAGCTGCATGTTTTGCACCCCTGAAAACCAACTTTAATGAACTTTGAGCAATCAAAAAATGTATTTAGTGCCTGATCAGTCTCATACAAATAACTCCAGGATCCAACTAACCTGATGGAGCGAAAAAAGAGAAATGGTAAAATATTAGGTGGCAAACAGAAAATTAAAGATTTAAATATTCATTCTTGCTCCAGCTTCTCATTTATGTATAAGAAACAGAGTATTTGGGTTTTGAAATGTTGATCACACAAACAAAACTTGTAAAATAAGGCATCTCGAACATTGTTTTCTGCTTTTGGACAAAAGAAAAAAATTCTAAATAGCAGTCAGTTTTTTTTATCTATCAGTTAAAGGTAGTGCCAGGTTCATAATTTGTTGGAGAAAGGCACATTTATTTTGTAGTTTTTGCCTCTCTGCACCACAGTGGATCCTAAATCGAACAATTACTATGCGCGTGAAGAGCAGACTCAGATGTGTTTGACCTCAAGGTGCTCCTGTTAGCGAACGAATATAAAATTTTGCTCAGTCTTCAGAATAAAGTGCTAAAACTTCTCTGATGACAGAGAGGTGTGGAAAGATACTCTGATCCAGTTTGTTGCCACAGTCACCAAGCCTCGGACCCAAATATTTAGCTGTTCGTCTTTCTGGTGTGACCGGGCTTTAAAGGTCCTGGCTACAACCCAGCCAAGGGGAAACCGGAGCGCAACACAAAAAAAAGAAAAGGAAACGTAATGCCCACGCTGCCTGCTCCCAAGGAAAGACCAACGCTACCACAGGATTGCGGTTTCACAACAACCAGATATTTTATTAATCTCCAAAGATAGCAAGCAGCAGGGAGGGAATGGCCAAAACAACAAACAAAACACTCCAGAAATGAAACAGAACTGATTTACCTATGACGAGAAACCCAAAAGAAAATTTCACTAAGCTAAACAGGAGAAAAAGGTTTTAAAAGAAAACCCCAACAGCAACCAGATCACCAAGGTTTACAATCAATACAAGACAACCAAGCTCTTCTCATCACAGTAACTTGGTCACACAGCTCACCACTAAACACAAGACCCATGGCTAAATGCACAGCTTGTTTGGAAATAGAAAGTGGGCGGGGCAGCCAGCCTCATTCCATGCTTAGCCAATTATCTGCCTCCACCTGGAACTTACATAAGCACAAACAACATACAGCAAAATGACTTGGGTCATAACACGAGAAAGCGATGGCAGCAGCTCTGCAAGCCCATCAATTTTCAAGCACTTAATTTGAAACGCACGGAGACTTAAATCCCCTTAAAAAGCCCTTTTGAAGCGTGTGTCCCAGAGTCAGAGCATGAAGCCGCTGAAAACTTTCATACCCCTTAAAATGTGGTGCTAACCTGGTTGTTGACTGAGCCAAAGCACTTTTGTTATTTTCTCATCAAGCTTTTGTTACATTTTGTGTTTGCATGCTTTTATTTTGATTTTAGCCCAGATATATAACCCAGACTTTGTAAATGTTGCTGAGCGCTGCAGTCTGCATCACCCGGGAGGCGCTCGTGTTATATTAAGAGTTGGGTTTTTGGCCTTACCGTGTCCACGTCTGGAGTTGGGGGGTGGGGGGAGGCTCTCTGAAAACCGTGTGCTGGACTCAAAGTGCTGCAGTTTCATGTGTGAACTGGAGACTATGTGGTTCTGGTTGTTTTTAGTTTGTATTGAAACATTTGCACAGCATTTTAACTCATGAAACGGCCTGTTGTCGGCTCATGTGTGTGTACGTGTATGTTTATGCATAATTATAAGGGTTTAAAGATACGGAAACCATGGTAACGACCTACTTGTCCCATATTTGTTCTGCTTTTGTTTGTCTGACCCGAGGGCATCATGTTGGACAGCAGCGTGCTGCGAGTGAGTCCGGCCTCGGTGTCCGAATGTGATTGAACAGTTTTCTGGACGACATTATTCATTCACCAGGATAGTTTGGTGTCACCCAGTGGTTTTTAATGCCTCCACAGAGGCATATGTATAATAAAGAACCATTGTATTTAATATTAGGCCTGCTGTGTTTCTTATATCACACTTTTCAAGACTGATCTACTCTATACACTTTATCTATACTCTATATCCACACACTGCTGCATCTCAAATAGAATAGAATAGAATAGAATGCCTTTTGTCACTATGCACATGTACAATGAGATACAGAGCATCTCCTACGCAGTGCAAACATGTGGTAAAAGAAACGGGTGTGAGGTGCTCAGTTCTGCTGCACTATATACATATGAGCAGTATTCAAAAGAATATATAAAATATACATATGGGGGGAATTAATAATTAGTGTGATATATTTACAGTGTTACAGGGTTATTGCACGTAAACTATTGCACAGTAATGATAGTTGTGTAGTCTGTTTATAGAGGGAAGGCCTTGGAATCGGGGTGGGACTGTATTGTCAGTGCATGTGTGAGTTCAGGGTGGTTATGGCTTTTGGGAAGAAATTATTTTTGAGTCTGTCAGTCTTTATGCTGATGCACCTGTAGCGCATTTTTGTTGCTCTGCTGAGGCAGCGGGAGGACTAAATGTCCATCATGGAGGAGAGAGGGCAGCCGATGATCTTCTGTGCTGCTTTGACTTCTCTCTGAAGCCTCACTTTATCTCCCGTACCATACTGTGATGCAATATGTCAACAGGCTCTCAATGGATGAGCGGTAGAAGTTCAGCAGCAGCCTCAGGAAGTGCAGCCGCTGCTGGCCTTCTTGACGACTGCTGTGATGTTGTCTGTCCAGGAGATGTCAGCGGAGATGAGGACACTGAGAAACCCGAAGGTGTGGACCCTCTCCACACACTCCCCTTTGATGTACAGGGGGGCTAAGTCAGTGCTGTGCCTCCTGAAGTCCACAAGTTGGTGTTCAGTGCCAGGTTGTTCTCTGAACACTATGCTGCCAATTTCAGGACTTCCTCTCAGTAGTCTGCCTCGTCTCCCTTTGAGATGAATCTGACTACCGTGGTGTCATCAGCAAACTTGATGATGAGGTTGTGGTGGGTGGAACTGCAGTCGTGGGTGTAGACACAATACAGGAGGGGGCTCAGCGCTCAGGGCTATGGTGATGCTGTCTTCTGTGGATCTGTTCGCATGATATGCAAACTGGTAGGGGTCGAGGTCTCGGGGGAGGTAGTCCTTGATGTGCTGAAGGACTAGTCTCTCGAAGCATTTCATGATTACCAGAGTGAGGGCCACAGGGTGGTAGTTGTTCAGGTTAGTGACGGGAGACTTCTTCGGCACTGGGATGATTGTGGCTGATTTTAGACAGGGTGCCCAGTCTAGTGAGAGGTTGAATATTCTGGTAAAGATGAGGGTGAGCTGGTGGCCACACGCTGTTAGCGTCTTGCCAGGTACTCTGTCTGGACTGGCAGCCTTCCTGGGGTTCACTGCTAAGAATACACGTCTGACATCATATTCCGTAAAGTGAGTGGAGCGGTGCAGGAATGAGGTGGATGGGAGCAGGCCTGAAGCAGATGAGGGCTGCTGTTGTGGTGTTTCCAAGTGGGCGAAGAGGCAATTTATCTCCTCTGTGAGCACTCAAGTTTTCTGTTTTCAGACCCTCTGTGGATTATAAAGTCTTGTACGCCCCGCCACACCTCCCATGTGTTGTTGCTGGACAGGCGGGACTCTGCTTTTGTTATGGTCTAAATTGGCCTTTGGGCTGTAGGAGAAAGCCAGGACCAGCAGACTTGAGCCAGGAACCTTCTCGGCTTAGCTGGACCCCCGCCCCAGGAGCTGATCTCGGGGTGATTTATGTTCACATTTCCTTCCAGATTCTGAATGAGTCTTTTCTTTGTGGCCTTCCAGCTGTGAGAAGTCCCTGCAGAGATGAACAGCAAGCACAAAGAGCCTCTGTCACCTCATCAGTGGAGGATGGAGAGTGTCCATTTACTCTGGGTCACTTATCTGATCAACCAGCACACTGTTAGTGGTTTTGCAAAAGGCCCTTTAGTGACGCATGTGCTGCTATATATTTTAATAGCACCCTCAAACTCTGGAGCCAGGTTGGTGTTTTTAAATCACCTCATCTTGCACCCCAAAGATAACTTTTATTCTTGGAGTCTAACTCGTGCTTTGCTGTTCAAAATAATCCTCAATTAACTTTTACTGATCCTTGGTTGTTTTAGCTTTTCTCCCTCGCTGAAAAAAGTCCACATTTTAACTTAAAATTACCAAAGAGAAAAACTGAATTTTAAGATAATTTTTAGGCATCTTCCTGTTAGAAAGCAGTTCTTCCTCCCCACCATCACCCATTGCTTGCTCGTAGTGGATTGTGTGATGAGTGTTTGTGTTCTTTGTACTCTTTACCCAAGTAAAAAGTGAAGTAATTATAACTTCCACCTGCCTAAAATGATTTTCACATCTAGTTTTATTTTCAGAGGCTCAACCCTCAGCAAAAGTCATTAAACAAACAACAACAACAAAACATTTACACAACTGTAAAATCAGCCTGCTTTTATTCCACGACATGTCAAATATTTTACATGGAACAAAGAGGAGCGAGAGTGTTTCTACCAGAGAAAATTAGGCACATGAGGTTAAATATTTCACATCCCCAGAACATTATTTTAACAGAGTTGTAAGTGTTGTGGATGCAATCTGCTGAGCCTTTGTTCATGTTCATTTAACGATGCGCTCACACTACTTCCACACACACTTTTAATTTGT